AATCATGGAATGGTTTTGGGTGGAAGGGACCTTAAATCTCATCCAGTTCCACCCCTGGCCGTGGTCAGGGACACTTTCCACTAGACCAGGTTGCTCAGAGCCCCGTCCAACCTGGTCTTGGACACTTCCAGGGTAGAGGTGCTCTCCCTGTGGGACCATCCGTGCCCCTGAGCGCGTGTGCTCCGGGCACCTGTGCCTGGCTGGAAGTGCCACCTGCTCCATCCTGCCGGCAGCCAGGGCTCCCAGGCCCTCTGGGATCTCTGCTCCCACGCCAGCCTGTGCCCACTCTTTCCTCTCTGTTGACATTCCTGGGCTATTCTGGGAGCTGCCAGCAGGCCCGGCCAGCTGAGCCCTTTGCCCCTTTGCTCCGCGGTTGCATCATCTCCGGTGGGTGCTTTTTCCCAGACAGCCCACTGTGTTTACATGGCACCTCTGGCTTGGCCAGGGGCAGGGGCTCCGTGTGGTCAAGACCTTGGAATCGTGGCACGGTGGGCACAGGACATGCCGAGCGCTGGCGGGGCTTCAAGTTCCCACCGTGCTCTCTGGGTTCCCTGCCCCAGCCGGGCTCTGCCCATCCCCCGGCAACGTGGCACCTTGCATCACCTTCCGGAGGCTTCTGCCGGCCCCTGCCCTGGCTCGGGCTGCACATCCCACTCCAAAGAGCCTGAGGAACATCTTCATGCTGTTATCACACTGGCTGCCACCTCCTGAGCCCTCAGGACATACAAATCCCCTTTCTATTGTGTGAGGTGGAGAGGACACTGTGTTCCCCTTCTCTGGCCCTTCCCGGCTCTGTCCTGGGCTGAGGCTGGACCAGGTGATCCAAGGGGTGGACTCAGACCCCCAAACCCATCGCCTGGTGATAGCCACGAAAGCCCAGAGATGTGACAGTCCCTGGGAGCTGCAGGGTCATCCCAGGAGCCCCCTGATCCCTGCTGGGTCCTCTGTCAGCACCCAACAGGACCTACCCTGCTATGATGGCTCTGGGATGCCCGGGGGGCAGTGCCCAGGCTGGGGGGCAGGTCTGTAAGATCCACGGGCAGGCAGGAGAGCAGGGATCCCTCCAACTGGCTGCTCCGGGGCTGGATCTCCTCCACCAGCCAGGATTCGCCCCAGCCCTTGCTTCCTGCGGGTTTTGGAGCAGGTTTGGGAGCTCAGTGTCCGGCTGCCCGAGCTGGGGGGCTGGCCGGGGCAGATGCCAGGGTGAGCCACAGGCAAAGCCCACGGGTGGGTGAGCCCCTCGCCCACACAC